CCCAGGCGGCTGCTGTCCAAAGCCCCCGGCTCTCTGCGCCTCCACCTGTGCCCGCCCCGGGCCGGTTGCGGCCCTTGGCGTTCCCCTCCCAGCCCGGCGCGCTCTCGTCCGGCTGGCTGCATCCATGCTGCGAGTTTGGCCTGGTAACAGCCCCGAGCCGCTCATTTTGCGGTGCCGAAGTCCTGGCCGCCCTCATCGGAGGGTGCTGGCTCTGCCCAAGACAGGGAGGGGGCTCCGGGGGGATGAGCGACGCACCCGCAGCGGGACCTGCTGGCTTGTGTCCCCGCAGCAACATCATCGACGTGTCGGCAGCGGATTCCCAGGGCATGGAGCAGCACGAGTACATGGACAGAGCCAGGCAGTACAGGTGGGACCTGCCCCGCTCCCTCGGGACGCTCGCGGCCCCGGGCGGGTGGGGAGGCGTCGGGCAGCGCCTGGGGGTTTTGGCCTTGGGGGGTGCTGAGCCCCGCTGCTTCCCTCCCGGCTGCAGGCTGGGCGGGGGCGGCTGCGCACAACGGGCTCCCGTGTCCCCCGGGGCAGACGGGGGGTGGCTGGGCGCGACTGCTCCCGCTCGAAAGGCGCTGGGTCGAGGGCTGGAAGCTCCCTTGTCCTCCCGCCTCGGGGAGTGAGCGAGGAGGGGTGGATGCCGGCAGCGGCGCGGCTCTCCTCGGCTCCCCCTCGATGGTGCCAGTACCTGGTGCCACCCATCTTCTGCCGAGCCGGGGGTCTCCCTGTGGCCCGTCGCTCCTCCCCGCTGCTGGCGCTGACCCTCACCGCTCTCCCCTGGGCAGCACGCGCCTGGCCATGCTGAGCAACAACCTGACGCACTGGAAGAAGCTCCCGCTGCTGCCGTCTCTGACCAACCAACCGCACCAAGTGCTCGCCAGCGACCCTGTCCCCTTCGCAGACCTGCAGCAGGTGAGAGGGGCTGGGGGCCAGCTCCGTCCCGCAGCCGGACCCTGGGCCCCCTCGGTGCCTCGCGGAGGTGTGGGGGCTGAAGCGACCTCATCCCGGAGCCCTGGCGCTTGCGGCTGTCTCTAGCTGGGCACAGCCTTGCCAGAGGAGCGCGGACGCCGTGGGCTTAAGCACAGGCCATGCCGGGGCTGCCGTGAGCGCGGAGGCGGGGTCCTGGTGCCGGTGGGCGATGTTGTGGCCGATGCAGAAACATCCTGAGTTTCAGGCAGCCCTGTAAGGACTCGTTAGCACCGAAGGCAAAGCCCCGTCCCGGGTTCCTAGTGCAGAAACTGCATGCAGGCAGGGCTCTGTCCTCCTCCCAGTCCCTTCGGAGGATCGTTCGCGGCAGCAGGACGTTTTGCAGCGCCGGCAGCTTCGATCCCGGCGAGCCCTGCTGCTGCTTTGAGTACGGAGCTGCCGGGGAAGCGCTCGTCCTCGCAGGCGGGAGCTGCCGCCTTGCCCATTAAGCGCCCGGAAAAGGCCCAGGGTTGCTCCCAGCTGGTTTGCGGGGTGGGTCTCCCTGTCCCCCCCCAGCGAGGGCCGGTTCCCAGCCCACCGGTCAGTCCCCGGGGCCGCAGGAGGGCTGGTGCCGCCCAGCACAAAGCCCCCGCTGCGGCTCATCTTGCTCACGGCGCTTCCTCCCCAGCCGCGGGGTCTGGATAGCGACGGGGTTTGAGTATCGAAGCACTTGGGGCGAGGAGAATCTCCCTGGGCTGCCAGAAACCCCTTCCCGAACGGAGACGGGCCGGTATCCGGGCACATCCCGGCACGCAGAGCAGCTCCGAGGACGAAAGCCCATTTTTAGGCCTTTGAGAGCTCTTTGGCCCAAGCAGACCCGTGCTGTTCTCGTTGGGATAACCGCGTTCGCCGGAGCTGACGCCGGCCGCTGTGCTTGCGCCCGCAGGTGTCCCGGATAGCTGCCTACGCCTTCAGCGCGCTCTCACAGATCCGCGTCGACGCCAAAGAAGAACTGGTTGTACAGTTTGGCATCCCCTGAGCCCGCCCCGCAGCACCACAGCTTCACCGGTTTTGGGTTGGTTGGTTTGGTTTGGTTTTTTTTCCCCCCTCCCTTTTTTCTCTTTATTTCCCCTCCTCTCCCGCCCCACGGCGCCGCGACAGAACTTGTACAGACACCCGGTTTCCTACTAATCCCCGAGACGCCCGTCACCGGCGCGTCGACCCCGCCGGCGCTGCTCGGAGGCTTTCCCCTCCTCCCGGGTGGGTGGGAGGGTGGGTGCGCGTGGGGAGGGGGCTGCGTTTTGCCAGACACCGCCTCGCACAGGGATGAGCGCAAAGGGAACGCGGGTGCGGGGAGGCCCTGGCGTGGGTCAGCACTGCTGTGCCGGGTCGGGGCAGGCTGGAGCCAGGCGGTGCCGGAGCGGGGCTGCCAGGGATGCGACGCTCGGCGCGGGACATGGTGGCTTCTAACGACCTCCCCGCTCATTTTTACATGTTTGGACCTTTATTTTGGGTATTTTTAATTATTGGTTTTGGCCACAGTAGATAAAACCATGTTCATCCAGCGCCTGTCTCCTCTGTTCTGCGCCAGCCGCGGCCTGGGCGCGGTGGGGGAGCCCTGGGGGGGCCCTGTCCCCCTGCCCCTTCCCGGGAGCCGGATTTTGGGGAGGGATGGGCCTTGTTAAGGGACAGCCCTTCCCTTTGTTCTGCTTATGGGGTTTGCGCTGTGCTCTGGACAAAGCCCATGGAGCCCCGCTCCAGTTTGCCAGCTCGTTACTGGGACCCACTGGACCTGCTCCTCCTGGACCCGCAGCGTCGCCCCGGGAGGCCGCCGAGGCCTGGGTGCGCCCCTGAGGTGGCCCTGGGTGCTGCCCCCCAGGTTTGGAGGCAGCCGTCGAGCCCTGTCCCCCG